TGAGACAGAGCCTCAAGCTATTGCCCTGGGTAGAATGCCGTAGTATCATAGCTCACAGCAACCTCCAATTCTTGGGACCAAGCAATCCTTTTGCCCCTATTTTTTTTTTTTTTTTTTGAAGTAGAGACAAGGTCTTGCTTTTGCTCAGGCTGGTCTTCAACTAGTGAATTCAAGCAATCCACCCGCCTCAGCCTCCCAGAGTGCTAGAATTACAAGTGTGAGCCACCATGCCCAACCCATTAGTCTTAGAAATAGTAAATGTTTATTTTCATCTAAGGTAGAGATGAGTTTCTTTGTACTCAATGTTGGGTTACATATATTAAAAAAAATCCTTGTTTGCTGTAAGAGTCCTATGTTAATAAAAGCAAAGCTTCAAAGACTAAAGTGCAATGGGCAAAAGGAATATAAATAAACTGATTAACTTATGCAGGTTACTGATGCTTATTAAAGTACTTAACTAAACCCCTAAAAGTTGGCTTGATTATGATACTTACAGCTTAATGAGGTGATAACAAGAGAATAGGAAGGCTCTCGTTTTCCATAGTATCCCAGGAAAACAAGTATGTATATAATCATTGGAATTTACCTAGTACTGAGGCTACACTAACAAAGACCTCAGTTTGTCCTTTAAGTGACTATAAGTAGGGAATTTTAAAAGGAACCTTAAGAGACTATACAGTCTAAAAATTTGTGGAGTTTTTTTTTTCTTTTTGAGACAATCTCAAGCTATTGCCCTAGGGTAGCGTGCCATGGCGTCACAGCTCACAGCAACCTCTAGCTCCTGGGCTCAAGCTATTCTCCTGCCTCCACCTCCAAAGTAGCTGGGCCTAAAGGCACCTGCCATAACACCCAGATGTTTTTTGGTTGCAGCCATCATTGTAGTTTGGTGGGCCCGGGCTGGATCCACCAGCTCAGGTGTATGCGGCTGGTGCCTTAGCCGCGCACAAGCACCGAGCCTGTTTTTTTTTTTTTTAATTTTTTTTACAGACAGAGTCTCACTTTGTTGCCCTCTGTAGAGTGCTCAAGCATCACAGCTCACAGCAACCTCCAGCTCCTGGGCTTAGGCGATTCTCTTGCCTCAGCCTCCTGAATTAGCTGAGACCACAAGCGCCCACCACAACGCCCAGCTATTTTTTGTTGCAATTTGGCCAGGACTGGGTTGGAACCAGTCACCCTCAGTACATGGGGCTCATGCCCTACTCACTGAGCCACAGGCACTGCCCTGTATAATTGTTTTTTAATAAAGAAATGAAATTATTTCCTTAAAAGAAATCTTACTGGGTGGCGCCTGTGGCTCAAAAGGGTAGGGCACTGGTCCCATATGCTGGAGGTGGCGGGTTCAAACCCAGCCCCGGACAAAAACTGCAAAAAAAAAAAAAAAAGAAATCTTATGCAGAAATTCAGTATATAAAGGAGATAAAAGTAGGCTGAATCTAGTTTAAGACGGAAGTATAAACTGCT